CCATGGATCCAGCCACACAATTTGGATATTCCCTTCTCTAGCATCACCAACCACAAGTAGAGAACTAGTTTAGACCAGCTGCCTGACAAATCCTCCTTGTAGAATGCAAATGTTATCAGTAACTTCCTGAGATACCATCACAACATCCTCTAGATGTCACCTTGAGAACATTCCAGGATGGAATAAGACTGCTCTGTACCACACAGACAACTTGAAATAGACATATTTAAAACTTTGCAAGCCTGGATAGATGGATGATTTAAAAAATTCTTTCCAATCACCTCAAACTTAAGTTTACTTCATAAAACGATCTAATATCTCTTCCTGGCAGATTTTCTTAATGGCTTCTCCCACCAACAGAAACAAAAGCAAAACCTTCCTCTAAGAAGCCTTCCTGATGGATCCTGATTTCTCTTCAATACAGTTTTCTCCCCAAGGTCCTCCCCAACACGTCCTCCAATTTCTAAGGCTGCTCATCTCCTTACCTGAAGCATCTGAGGGAGGAGAGTGTAGCAAATTTTAAAGGCAGAAATGAAGTTATTCTTGGAAGGTTAAGAGCACTTAATTATAGATGATTACCCAATCAATTGTTTTCTTTAATACGCTAAGTCTACAGCAGGCCCATAACTGGCTCATTTGGCCAGGAGGTTCATTCAGGCCAAGTGAGCTGTAAGAAAATTCATTAAGGATTTCCAACACCTGAGCACATTAAATCAATCTGGAGACTGGGCAAGAAATAGAGGAGGACTTTTACAAGTGACTTCAGCGAGACTTGCATTGTCTCTGGTGTTATTTCCCTTACTAGAGATAAACCTAGCCTAGGGGTCAGTTTTTCAAAAGCTACATAAAACGTTAGGAAAACCAGTCATTTCCTTGTAAGTAATTTGCATTATAGAGAAGATCTGCAAAGCCAGTCTGATACAACTTCTAAGAGGATCTTTTCTAGTAACCAAAATTTATGCAAAAAAATGAAAGGGAGAGACTCCGGAAATAAAGAAACAGAACTAAAAAGAGACATGGAGAGAAACAACAAACTCACAAACTAAAATTACTCCTGGCTCACTGAGCAGAGGACTCAACGCCTACTGAAGACACTTGCGGGCAATCCCTACAGCTGTGTTATCAGTCGGCTTTAGACATCGGGGTAGGGATTCAAACGTGTTCTCTGGCTACTAATGGATGACTTTCAGTACTGTGTGCAGCTACTGGCCGCTGCCTTTCATAGGATGGCAACTTCCAGAGAATGGAAAGAGCAAAACCACCTGTGCTGGAGTGCTGAAAGTTCTTTAAAAATAATCTTCATTCTAGTTCCACAGGAAACGAATTCCAAATACAAAAAGAGCTTTCTTTTAGAGATTGTATTCTACTTATAAGAAAAAAAAAGAAAGATACTTTTTAACCTGATTGTAAGGACACATGCTGTAAGCACCTTCTTTCGGGACCAATTGCCAACCTTTTTTCAAAGTACACATAAAGGTAATTTTAAAACAGGGAGAGACTTTACTTATGCAACATTCCCAAATTATCCTACTCAGGGACTATTAGCAATTATATATGTCTCAATGCATAAAAATTACACAGTAAACAAAAATTCTATAATAGGAAAAGATATGCTCAATATATTTTGAAATGTGTTTAAAAATTAGAAATGTCTAATCTGACACCTTCTCAGATATTGCTAGCTGAAGAATTAACAGCAGCCATTCTAAAATTCTCAATTAAAATTTCAGTTTTCCTCGGAAATAAAAATTTTAAACAATATAATTACATTTAGTGAGAAATCTATAATCAAAGAGTCACACACAGGTATTTTGTATCTTGACTTTGTACACAAAAGTTAAAATACTGATTCTCAGAAATACAGCTCTTTTTTGTTTCTATTATAATTGTTTTATTTGTAATAATGGTTTCCCATGAATTATCCACATTTTCATCCAACTGATCTCTTGCCCAATAATAAGCATTTACAAATACACGGTTACGTACAATTATTCATTAGTGACAATATGCAAGGCACTGAAGGGAATTCTGAGAGAAATGAAATTTGGTCCCTGACTAACCAAGAATAGGAATAAATCTTTTCCATAGCAAGACTGTAAATTATTATTTTTTTAACCTGAACTGCCAATCACCTATTAACTCTGAAGATCCAAATTACAGAATGGCACTAAACAAGCTTTATAGTAAGCCTTTTGTTTTAAAATTGTCTACGAGACACTGAATTGTACACTTAAAAATGGTTAGAGTGGCAAGCTTTGTGTTATGTATATTTTACTATGAAAAATTAAAAAGAAAAAGAAGTACAGCGGAATCCCAGAAATCCTAAAGCCAACACAAGGGACAACTTGATCTAAAATCGAAGAGGGTCTAATTTGGACAAGGATCCCAAATATGATTTTGCCTTATTAGATTCCTGATTTCTCCCTTCACATTGCTTAAAGGACCACGTCATGCCTTTCTTAGGAAGGGAATTGTGTTTAATATTGACACAGGAAACTGGTTTTCCAGTCCTGGATCATTCTATCCTTGCAGGAAGTAGGAAATGAACAAAAGATCAAGATTCCCAAGAAGGACTGAGGATGGCTGTGTTTGCTCTTCAAAGCCTCCACACAGGGCATTTACCGGAGGATAAGGCTACAAGCGGGGTAAAAAAGCTGGGTGCTCAATAAATATGTGTTTAAAAATTGTTTTCATTAAAACCTGATAAAACCTAAAAAAAAACAAAAACAAAAACTCTACTAGAAAAGGTAAGAAATCAGGGAGAAATGAACATAGGCAGCTCCCAGAACTAATCTTCTTATACTCACACACATCATTCTCTGACAGACAGCTGGGGCTCTTGCCCTCAGGGTTCAGGCAACAAAGCAGGTTAGACAAATGGCTATTGCTAAACCAGGTAAATGTGGAAGAGCTGTCTCTTTGGTGTTCTGAGTGATCCCCAGTTTCTATCTAATATGCAGGCTTATTCCCCTTCCCTGAGGAGTTAAAACCAGTCTCTCAGGTCTTACAGATGTAATAACCAAAACAGCAAGGGGTTTATGGGATGGTCCACATCAGGTCAGCACTAAAGTTAGAACTCGGATTAGAAACAAGTATGCTTTAAGCTGTTCTCTCTATAGGGTCAAAAGGGCAGGTGGTAGAAGGGAAATCTAGACACAACCAAGAATCAAGACCTGCTGGAGATGCTCAAGGAGGAAAGCAAAGAGACTCAAAATTAAAAACAAAACAAATCAATACAAGTAAATGAAAGACATTTAGCAGGAGACAATGTATTTCTCACAATTTTAAAGGCATAAGAGGCCTGACATTTAATTCAATACCAAGAAAATCCCCGAAAAGTAGTGTGTGAAGCACCACCAAGGCTCAAGACTTCTTTCCAGACTTGAGGCTCCAAGCTCTTCCTTCAGAAAACACCCCATAAGGGCAGCTAAAGTGGTCACCTTTATCTCAGCAACTACAAAGCAGGAACTGTGACATTAACCTTGTACTATTTGGGAGACATTTCATTTGCAGGGGGGGGAGGGGAGTATTTCAAAAGGAAGGCAGTGACCCTGTAAGGGTCATCATCAATCACCTGGGGTCAAAGACCTTCTAAATTGTAAGAAGAGGCAGTGCGTAAAGGAAAGAGAGCAGAGAAAAGATCAAAAGGCCTTTGATGGGGGTTATCTACCTACACAATAGAACCTGCAAAATGGAACTTCTCTGGAGTCTGAAATCTTCTAGCTTCTAAGGTGAGAGGTTTCAAGAGAGAGTTGTTTTTTTTTTTTTTTTTTTAACTTGGGTGCTTAAGATGAGAGGCTAGAGTCAGCAGATGGCAGAAGAGGCCTAGAGGCACAGGCGTACATGGCTGCCAGTTTCACGGTCTATCTCAGCAGAGTATTAAATACTATTTTCTTCTCCCTAGAGCAAGCACCGAAAGGACACTGAAGATCCCGCCAGTTCTGCAGTTGCCAAGTGGCAGAGCGACTCAGCCTGAGACGCCTCATGACACTGTATTTTAGCTGACGCAAATACACTTACTTCTCTTTGTAGAAGGCAACCACAAAGGGAGAGGTTGGACCGGGGGCTAACCACTCTTTTGCTGTCCACAAAGGGAGAGGTTGGACCGGGGGCTAACCACTCTTTTGCTGTCATGGGAATAGTCATACGTCTGTAGGCTGATGCTAATGGAAAAGCAGTCAGGGTCTGTGGGGTCCTTTCCACAAGTGATGACATACTCTTCACCACCGTGACTGTTGCTTAATAAACTTTAGATGATTAAAGGAGCAGATGGATAGAGAAGTATAACCTGCTAGATGATGTGTAAATTAACTCCACTGGGTTCAGAGTCAACTTTAACTCGGAAAGAGGCAGTAATGGTTACCTGCTTGACCACTAAACATTTCTGTGGTATACTCAAGGTAGGTCATTAATCCTGACTAGGCTTTGTCCTGTCTCCAGGACACATTTCCCCTATTAGCTGGTTAGCGGAGTACTTAAAGGTCCCCTAGGTGGTTTGTGCTCAATTACTAACCTAAAGGTTGGTGGTTCGAACCCACCCAGTGGCACCGCAGAAGAAAGGCCTGGCAATCTGCTTCTGTAAAATATCACAGCCAAGAAAACCCTATGGAGCACTTCTACTCTGTAACGCATAGGATTGCCATGGGTTGGAATCGAATCAATGGCAACGAGGTTGGTTTGGTTTTGGTTGGAGTACTTAAGGAACACAAGCAATACGAATCTATTAAAAACTCACTGAAGATGTTTATAAAAATAATTTATTATTTAAAGAATTAAAACATACTACAGACCAATATTAATGGCTTTCAGATTATGGGCTGTTTTGATTTAGCCATGCCCTAGACACCTCCAGCCTACTCCCATTAGCATGGATAATTGAGAATCTACTATATTTCCATTTTAACACAGTGTCTCTAATACATTTCAGGCATTCAGAAGAGAAACCAACCTTTGATTATTCCGTATTTTAACCTTACAGGAATTTAGCACATGGCACTAACCTCTATAGAGTCCAAAGAAACCTTCGTAGCGTAGCACTTTCTTAAAACAGTCAAAGCTGTTTTTATACATAAGTTCTCCCACAAAAGAGCCAGTGGATCGTTGGTTTTGCATTCGAGTTTTTACAAGATCGATAGGATACACGGCAGTGGCTCCAACAGCTAAAATAAAATAATACCAATATTTTAGAAGGAATTAAGGTCAGTCAGAAGAAGAGGGAAGTAGTTAAGTCAAGAGAAGACTCAGAAAAGAACTAAGTAAAGTTTGCATGTACTGATTTTAAAACTGTACTATCTCTCTATACCCCTAATAACAACTGTGGATTTTAATTCAAGCGTCCCCTTATAAAAGGATGTCATAGACAATTTAAATTAAAATCATAGCACTACAACCTAACCTCATTATTAACCTGTCTTTTAGAAAGCCTGTCTGAACATACACAAGGGGAAAATGCCACTTGTAAGTCCCTGCTCACATGCAGGTATGGAAAAAAGTTCCCCTTCCTCTCTTCCCACCTTATAGGAGAAGATTGAGTGGTAACTGGCTTGAAGGAAGACTAGAGAAGGTTTTGTCCTTTGCTACTTCAAGGTAGAAAATCAGTGAAAAGATAAGAGGAACAATACAAATGAAATCTTTGCACTCATCCATGACTAACCTCCAGCAATAGAACCCAGGCCAAACCTGTAAGCTGACTCTGCAACCTGCAGGAGAATTGGCCGAGCTGTGTCCCCTGAGGTCTTCTGCTTTGCTCAAATAGGAATTGGAGGGCATGAAAACAGGAGGACAAAGTGAGCACATAATATTTTGAAAAATCAGTCACTGAGTTCTAAATCCATGACACAATTAAAATGTCTGAGAGGGAAATAGGGTTATATTCTGTAAGTTCTCATTAATAAAAGGTTATTATTACTGTTCATGTTTAAAATCAAATTCCAGCATAATGAAAGCCCTCAATTAAAAACAAAATGTTATGAACATATTTTCAAATGTTCAGTTGTCATAAGAAATCAAAGAAATGCAAATTTGAAGACATCAATGAGATATCATTCTTCAACAATCAAAAACTGGCAAGTTTTTGGTTTCATATTTTTGTTGTTGTTCGTTTTTAACAGCAATATGCAACCTGGCAAGAGTTGGTAAAAACAGACATTCTCAAACTTCCCTTTAAACCAAATGTAAACTAAAGGGAAATTTGGTAATATATATCCAACCCCTTAAAACGTGCCTTTGACCCTGTAATTCTATTTATAAAAAGTTAGGTTAGAAAATAACCATGTATGCAAACAAGGATAAAACTGTAAGAATGTTAAACAACAGTACTGTTTTAAGAGCAAAAACTCTGGAAATAAATGTCCAACAACAGAAGACCAGTTAAAAAAAAATAATGATATAGTTATTAGTTGAAATAGTGTAGCATCAAAAAATTATGCTGTAAAAGATATTTAGTGATAAGAAAAATGTTTGTAAAAAATTATAAATGAAAACAAAGGATGAAAAAAAGCATGGTGGATAGAGGGGAATTTGTTATATGATTTTCTTTACCTTGTTATATGTCTGAAATATTTCATGAAACATTTTTTTAAAATTAGCTTTAGAGACTATGTACAGTCTAATAACATTTTTATTAAAATTGTGGGTTGGTACACACATATAAAAATAATACCAACATTTTGGCCATCCAACCTCCAAAGACATTCAAAACATTTACAGCAGCTACAACTAGAATGCTGGATTACCGGTGATGGTTATTTTCCTCTCTCTTTGCTCTACCTTTTCAAAATTCATACATCAGGTAAGTCAGCTGCTGTTTTGTTGTTCTTTTGACCTGTTATCCTTACAGTGTTTCTTCTTTTTTTTAATTTTTTTCCCATACAAAAATTTATACATACATTGTTACACAACTCTAATTGTTCTCCCCACACTGTGACAGCACACTCCTCCTTTCCACACCTGATTCTCCATGTCCATTTAACCAGCTCCTAACCCTCTCTGCCTTCCCATCTCACCTCCAGACAGAAGCTGCCCATTTAGTCTCTTGGATCTACTTGAGCTAAGAGGGACATACCTCATGAGTATACTTTATGTCTCACAGTACAGTCCAATCCCTGTCTGAAGAGTTGGAGTTGGAAATTGTTTTAGTTCTGGGCTAATACAGAATCCATGGGCCATGCTTTCTGGGGTTCCTCCAGTCTCAGTCAGACCATTAAGTCTGGTCCTCTTACTAGAATTTCAGTTCTGCACCCCACCTTTCTCCTGCTCCATCCGGACTCTCTGTTGTGTTCCCTGTCAGGGCAGTCATTGGTGGTAACTGGGCACCATCTAGTTCTGACTGGTCTCAGGCTGATGAAGTCTCTAGTTTATGTGGCCCTTCCTGTCTCTTGGGCTAATACTTTCCTTGTGTCTTTGGTGTTCTTCATGCTCCTTTACTCCAGGTGGCTGGGACTAACTGATGCATCTTAGATGGCCACTTGCAAACTTTTAAGACCCCAGACGCCATTCACCAAAGTAGGGTGCCAAACATTTTCTTAATAAACTCTGTTATGCCAGTTGACCTAAATGTCCCCTGAAGGCATGGTCCCCAGATCCCTACCCCTGCTACTCTCTCCCTCAAAGCGTTTTGACTGTATTCAGGAAACTTCTTAGCTTTGGTTTAGTTCAGTTGTGCTGACTTCCCCTGTAGTGTGTGCTGTCCTTCCCTTCACCTAAGATAATTCTTATCTACTATCTAGTTAGTAAATAACACTCACCCTCCCTCCCCACTCTCGTAACCATCAAGAATGTTTTCGTCTGTGTTTAAACATTTTCTTGAGTTCTTATAATAGTGGCCTTATAAAATATTTGTCCTTCTGTGACTAAATTCACTCAGCATAATGACCTCCAGATTCCTCCATGTTATGTTTCACCGCCTCATCGTTGTTCTTTATCGTTGTGTAGTATTCCATTCTGTGGATAAACCATAATTTGCTTATCCATTCGTCCGTTGATGGGCACCTAGGTTGTTTCCATCTTTTTGCTGTTGTGAACAGTGCTGCAATGAACATGGGTGTGCATGTATCTATTCGTGTGGCAGCTCTTATTTCTCCAGGATATATTCCAAGGAGCGGGATAGCTGGATCGTGTGGTACTTCTATTTCTAGCTTTTTTGAGGAAGTGTCAAATTGATTTCCAAGTGGCTGTACCATTTTACAGTCCCACCAACAATGTATAAGTGTTCCAGTCTCTCCACAACCTCTCCAGCATTTCTTTTGTGTTTTTTGGATTAATGCTAGCCTTGTCGGGGTGAGAAAATCTCTCATGGTAGTTTTGATCTGCATTCTCTAATGGCTAATGATGGTGAGCATTTTCTTCATATGTCTGTTAGCCGCCTGAATATCTTCTTTGGTGAAGTGCCTGTTCATATCCTTTGCCCAGTTTTTAATTGGGTTATTTGTCTTTTTGTTGTTGAGGTTTTGCAGTATGTTGTAGATTTTAGAGATTAGACACTGATCGGATTTGTTGAGGCTAAAAATATTTTCCCAGTCTGTAGGCTGTCTCTTGACTCTTTTGGTGAAGTCTTTTGATGAGCATAAGTGTTTGATTTTTAGGAGCTCCCAGTTATCTAGTCTCTCTTTTGGTGCTTCTGCACTGTTACTTACGGTTCATATCGTGTTTATGCCATATATTAGGGCTCCTAGCATTGTCCCTATTTTTTCTTCCATGATCTTTATTGTTTTCGATTTTATATTTAAGTCTCTGATCCATTCTGAGTTAGTTTTGAGCATGGTGTGAGGTATGGGTCTTGTTTCAGTTTTTTGTGGATGGATATCCAGTTATGCCAGCACCATTTGTTAAAGAGACGGTCTTTTCCCCAATTAAGAGACTTGGGTCTTTGTCAAATATCAGTTGCTTGTAGGTGGATGAATTCATGTGGATGAATTTATGTCTGGATTCTCAGTTCTGTAGTTCTGTTCCACTGGTCTATGTATCTGTTGTTATACCAGTACCAGACTGTTTTGACTACCGTGGCAGTATAATATGTTCTAAAATCAGGTAGTGTGACACCTCCCACTTCATTCTTCTTCTTGAATAATGCTTTACTTATTTGGGGCCTCTTCCCTTTCCATATGAAGTTGGTGATTTGTTTCTCCATCTCATTAAAAAATGCCGGTGGAATTTGGATCAAGATTGCATTGTATCTGTAGATCACTTTGGGTAGAATTGACATTTTCACAATGTTGAGTCTACCTATCCATGAACAAGGTATGTTTTTCCACCTATGCAGGGGTCTTTTGGTTTCTTGTAGTAGTGTCTTGTAGTTTTCATTGTA